CCATCTGCCAGCTTTGAGGGGTTTCTGTTCCAAAGGCAGTGAGTAGAGAAGCAAGAGCAAATGCAGGGAAGGATCGGTCTTGTCTTGAGGACTATGGGGATGATGTGAAAAACTGGAGGGTCTCTGGACTTTCATAAGGGACTTTTCAGCCAGCTCCCTCCTTCTCCAGGAAACCTCTGAGCCAGACTCTGCCAACAAGCATGGCATGTGGGACGCAGGGGCTGGAAGGAACCTAACACCTCGCTTCTTTGTGGGTCCCTTCCTGTACAGAAGGAGTTGGAAAAACTCTGAGAAGACTATAGGAATACTTCAGAAGGCAAGCCGTTTCCATGACACCAAGCTGTTTTCATTTCTCACCCTCATGGCCTTGACTTAACTTTTACTGTGGCTTACCCACAATTCTTTCTCACCATTTGCTGCCTTCTCTTTCAAGAAACCTGGCTTAGCTTTAAGTTTCTGCCTCTTGCCTCAGACTGTGTGGTTAGATCAATGGGACCTAGGAGTCTCTTTCTAGTGGGTTCTGGTAACTTTATTTGTTACTGTAGTCTCACTTTCCAAAAGGAAGATGCAATGTTGCCAGAGCCCTTAATTCCTACTGTGGGGACAGAGACTTATGTTATGGATCAAATTTCTTGGGGGTAACATAGGAATTCTGCTTGCATACCTCAGGGCCATCACATTCATTCATCCATTTATTCACTCAGCCAGTGAGGATCGAGCATCTTCTAAGTTCTGGGGGTACAACTTGGACTAAGAGATGACAGTGTGCTGTGTTAGCAGAGTGTGAGAATGAAGTTCCAGGGCAAAGTGGGGGCTTAGGATGGAGGGCTCAAGCAGCAGCTGGATGATGTTTTGGGGAGCTTGGCCACCACAAAGAGTCATCACTATCACCTCACTGGAACTCTGAGGCTCTCTTGCTTCCTGTGTGCACCTCCTCTTATCTTTCTGCCAAATGGAACAGAAGGGATATTCTGTCCTTACAGGAGGCCCTGAGCATAGGGATTGTATGAGTGGACTGTCAAACAGGACAGTGTACCTTCAACAAGAAGCAGCTGCTTAATTCATTCATTAATTAATTTTTGGTGGCACTGGATTAATGCTAGGCAGATGCTTTATCTTTGAGATATATTTCAGCCAACACTGTTGCCTTTAACTAAAGTGTGCTCATGGCCTAGTATGGTGGGTTTATATCTCCTTTCCATCAAGTTGAAACCTTTACCACTAATGTGTTCCTGTCTCAGGCCCATAAGTGTGGTTCTAAATGACATTCAGCAGCATGAAGGCTGAGTGTTCTGGATTCCAATACTCAGAGAGCAACACATTTGTGTCTCTGACTCTGCCAGCCTTTTGTCTGGACTTTGCCTTCCTGTGGGGCAGCTGGTGGCTGCTGTGTAAAGGCATGTCTGGGTTCTGGAAGGCTTCAGACAACTCCCAAGTCTCCAAGAGCAATTGAAGCAAACCATGCTGGGATGTTGGAACACTATGAGAGTAGAGAGCCAGGATATTGCAACCAGGTAATTAGACCAATAGAATGCTGAAGTCCAAGGATTGTGGAGTGTCGGAAGTTCAGGTTTTATTCAGACTATAGAAATCTAGGGCCACAGAAACTGATAACTTCCAACTGTTGGAGTTGGCAATGAATGGATCCTAGAGGTTACCTGTCCCTCCCACCATATGCAACATGCTGGTGGCTCATGCATCTACCATTTCTGAACCATGTATTTTATTATTGAAAAAATACTACAATGTTTTTGGATGACTGAATAAATAAACATCCGGAAAAAATCTAGTTCCCTAGAACGAAGGAAAGCATTGACAGTTCCTACTAGTACTCAGGACTAAGCCCTCTCTCACTCATGAGATGCCCTGGAACTGAATGGAATATACTTAATTCTATATGATTTGGTTCATCATATCTTTGTATTAAATCTGCCAGGTACTAGCAATTTTGAAACTATGGGCCCTGTCCTGGCATATTTCCCACACACGAGATGGTCACTGAGCAGGGAGTATGCAGGTAAACTCAGGAGGCAGCTGGGTACAATATCTGTCTTTAAATCCTAGCTGTTGGGTGTTGCTAGGGAAATCTTAACAACCAGTAACTTGGCAGAATATGGGGCTTCATTGACAGCAGAAAGAGCAATTGCGTGGCAGGTACCTGCTGCAATCTTGGTCCTCAGAAGATATTATGGGTCAATTAGGCTTTCCTTTGCTGGACTCTGACGTGCTCTTTACCTGCTAGCAATCAATCAAAAATAGCTCAAGTATTAAATCTGCTCTAACTTCCTGTCCTGGTCAAGTTTGTGGTCAGCCTCTCCTGCATTCATGTCAAATGTTTTCCCTTCTTCAAACCGAGAGCCCTTTGCCATCCTTCTCAACTTCACCTTCCAGATGAAAGAGTAGACTTGTTTAGAAGTCATCAGCTACCTGCTCATACTCACTTTAGCTGAAAAGGTACCATTTTCTGCCTGAAGACCGACTCTCTCCCCTTGCTCTAGTCGCTCCTTTCATACCTTTTTGGAATCCCTCTCTTTTTGTCTTGGCAGCCTCAGCCATTGTTCACGAGGCTTTAAGAAGGCCACAGAAGTTGCTTTGACCTTGGCAGCACCTCTTCCCTCATCTCTTCTATTATGCCAAACTATTTCCCACATAGAAGCCACGTGGATGGATGTGAGGTTAAACAGTTCCCACTTTTTAATGTTGACAAGTAAGGACTTTGAGATCCCTTTCTGCTTCTGTCCCCAGCCCTTTTCCCCCAGGATACTTTATTTTAAAAAGGTGCTTGAGTGGATCATTGTGCCCAGTGGTCTGGAAGGTCAGTGTTTTGCATTTTCAGGCTCTCAGCTTCCTCAGCTATAGGAGAGAGCTGGTGCTAAAGACCATTAGGCTCTGTGTAATCTCACACCTGCATCTTTGGCCCATTCTGGAGGGGCACCCTACTCTCTCACCGGCCTCCCTCAGTGACTGTGCTATCTGGAGGCTCCTTCAAGTCTGAAGAACCAGGGAGACAGGTAGCTCCAGTGGCTGCCCTTCTGTAGTCAGCTAGGGCCCCTTAGTACAGAATGTGCTGCCCAGAGGCAGCTGTGTGGTAAGTGAGAGGGGAGGTGATGAAGGGACACTTCCTTGCACAGGTCCTCATAGCTACCTGGCTCAGATATCCTGCAAGAGGGAGAGTGGTACTTCCATACCCACATATTAGTATAGGTTCTGCTTTTGTGGGTTCCTCCAGGAGGCCCCTCTATATCCCCTGTGGGGCCCCACCTGTCTCCTACACTGTGCCAGAATCCTAGATATCCTGCAATCTAAGACAGTTCAAGCCAAAGCCATCTTCTCCTGTCTAAGTGAGTGAATTGAGGTCATCAGAGGGGAGAAGACTTGCTGGAGGCCATGGTGGGCCAGGGTAGAGCCAGTGTGAGTTCAGAGCACTTTCTACGCAGCTTCTGTGGCCTTAATGAGCTGTCTTCAGAGGACTTGCATCCATGTCTGAGCCCCTCCCATGAGCCTCACTTCAGTGGAGATTTAGAAGGGGAAGAATGGCCTGAATAAATACACTCCCAGCTCTTGGCCTCAACATACTTGGAGCTGAATGGGGGCAGGAGAGATACAGAGACAGACACTGGACAACCCCACTACAAAGTCAAGATATCCACAGGGACCCTTATGGATTGGACTGACTGCTTGGACTCAGGGGTGTGGGTAAAGGCCATAGAAGGAAAGGGTAGAGCAGCAGACTGATGAGTACATCTATAAGCTGCCATCTTGTTTGTTTGAGACAGGGTTTTACTACACATCCCTGGCTGGCCTTGAATTCACTAGGTAGACCAGGATGGCCTTAGAGATATGACTGCCTTTGTGTCCAGAGGACTTAGAATATGGGTGCACATCATCACACCCAGCTCTAAGCTTATCTCTTCATTTTCACAACACACAGATGTGTTTCATAAATTTAAGTGGCAAGAAGTAAAAGGTTATTGTAAATCACAGAACAAAAGTTGACTAACACAGAACTCATATACAATATCCTGGCCCCAACGCAGCCACTGTAGAGACAACCACAGAGAAAAGCAAAGCAGAAAGGCTAAAGAGAATCAGAGAAAGAATAGACCCCAAGGAGTCCTGTGTAGACATCTTTAGTTTCTTTCCCAGGAGAAGGAAGAGCCCCAGAAACATTTAGCTAATGCCCTGTGCTGCTTGTGTGGTGATACTTAAACTCATTGTAATAGTGAAATAGCGGTGACGATGTTGATTGTAGCTGACATTTTGGATTCCCACTACATGGCAGGTTAGTTAAGTGCCACTCGTCCTTACAACTACTGTACAACACAGATACATTTAGTTCATCAAATAGTTACTGCCATCCTTTCCATTAACAGGAGAGAAAATTGAACCCTGGAGAAAATACCAGCTTGGGTGACATGACACATGGCCCCATTGGATTTGGAGTCAGAACTGTGGGCTGTCAAAGTCTATCTCCCTTATTCCTGAGGCTACAGGGTCCTTATGATTAGCCCTGCTTTTTAAATTATTTTTTATTTTTTAATTTTTATCAATTACACTTTATTCGCTTTGGATCTCCCCTGCAGCTCCCTCCCTCCACCCCTCCCATCCCTCTCTCCCCCTTCTCCATGCATGCTCCTCCCCAAGTCCACTGATAGGGGAGGTCTTCCTTTCCTTCCTTCTGATCCTAGAAGCAGAAAGACACACAGGGTGTATATACTCACTCATAAGTGGATATTAGCCCTGCTTTTAAGTTGTTGGGTGGATTCAGGTTGGGTTGAACACTGGAGGATTGTTTTGGGTTTTCATATGTCCACCTGGCACTTGAAGAGGCCATGAAAGTTACCCTGGTGCTTTCCTCCAAGGAAGATGCTACGAGAGAGTACTTGGTCAGAAGATGGAGAAGCACTGGGATTCTAGCTCTGCTATTTGGTACTATGTGCCTTTCATGCCCTCCTCTGGGCCTCAGCTTATCCCTTGACAAGTAGAGTCTGGGGCCAAACCTGCTCCAAAGGCGAAGAAGCAGATCTTGTCCTGGTTCTCCCGCAAAAGTGCCATGACCCTTCTCCCCATGCGCTCATTCCTCTTGTAGATGAGCTCTTGGCGAAAGTAGCTGTCGATCTCCTGGGCTGTCACTTGCTCATGAGGCGGGAGGGTGGTGTTGATGAAGTTTGGTAGCTGCAACAGTAAGACAGAAGCCATGTTTAGAATATGGGTGCACATTGTACCCATAGAGTAAGAGAGAAAGACAGATGTGAGACGCATAGTCCAGGAAGGGCTGGCAACCTACCTTTCTGAAGCCCTATAACTGGCTCTGTGTTTCCAGTTTCTCATTATCCCTCAGAGCCTCAAAGATGAGCATTGCTCCAGTTTTAAATGTGAAGCAAGCCCAAGAGGGGAAGATCCTGAGGTATGTGCAACCATAGCCAGTTCATGGTGGAGCCCATCCATATGGCCTAGTGTTAAGAGTCTCACACAGGCTTGCCTAGTATCTCTCTAGAAGTTGAGGCTGTGCTTGGCTCCTTATGTCCTTTCTTCATCCTTGAGCTCTGCATGACTTGGACCAGGAACTCAGTTCAGCAAGAGGGTATAGGTGACAGGTATGGCAAAAAGAACATAGGGCTTTGGGTTAGGGTGACTTAAGTTTTGTATTCAATTCTGATGCTGGGCGTACTGAACAAGCTACTCCAGTTTGCTGAGCCCTGGTTCTCATTTGCAGGAAGGGCTTATGTGATGAGAGGGGATAAATGAGATGATGGGTATTGCAGAACTTTTGGCTTTTCTCATGTCTGAGCCACCATCTACCCATCTGGCTTCAAACTTCCAGATCTTTATATTTCCTTGAAAACTATTTTAGGATCACTGATCCTTTCAGGCTGATGCTTGTGGAATAACCTGCCCAGGATTCTCTATCTTTACACTTTTGGGTCCTTTACCCTCACTACAGTATCACTTTCCACACCTAGCCTGAGGCCTGGTAACAGCTTTGCTGATGTACTCTTGAAGTAACCAGAGGGATATCAAAGTTCAAGGAAAAAGTTATGCCATTCCAAGTTTCCAGGGCCTGCTATAAGGAAGATGCGTATCAGGGGTCAAACCTTGACTATAAGATTGCATTGCCCCTTCTGGGTTGCTGTGTTCTTATAATTTCATCTGTTTGGCCTGGATATTAGGTCCAGGCTTCTCCACCATCTCCTCCAACATGTGCATGTGGCTGCTGGGGAAATTAAAGCAGTGAATAACGTCTTTCCTCCCACTCCACCCATGTCATAACACCCTCCAAGCTCTTGCCCTCATTGTCACCTGCCCAAGCACAAATCACAAAATACTAGTCCTGACTGAAAGATGAGGGGAGATTGGCCTGTAGATAGCAATTTCCTAGAGATATCGTTTCCTCAGAAGAGCCAGTTATTATGGCTTTTTACTCAAGCACATAGTCACTGTGGAGTTGTCAACATTCTTTCTGAGAAAAACGGGAGAGTCAACAGAAACTGAACATTGAGTGCCTCTGAGGAGGGCAGGACATCTGCCTCTGTATGCTGGCCAAGGAACAGTGGAAGAAACGGGTGGTTAGAACACCTGCAGCATAGGACTGTCTTTGTCATAGAAGCCCAACTCACTGCCCTGGGATGAAGAAGGAAACAAGGATGTGGTTATCTCAACGTGAGTGGTGCACAATGTGTACAATGCACACAGCAGCCCTGTTCGTGCCTAGGCCAGTACAGAGCTGGCACCCACAGACTGCTTGCCTGTCAGATAGACACATGAAGGAATGGAGTCCTTACCCTCCCAGCACTGGAAGGGATGACTGGCAGCCCTGATGAAATAGGTCACCCTTGGCTTGATGCTGTTACAGGAGACGCTAAAGACTTTTGAGTCAGGGTGGGGAACAGAGAGGTTGTGACTAGATGGACTATTTCTGGAAACACACCTCTCAAAGGCTTCTCTCCATTTATGGGGTATGGGAGAGGAGGCCAAGGTCTCCTACAAACTACAAGTCAGTGTTTGTTTGGTCAGTGAGCAGGCAGCTGGATGAGCAGGATAAGTGACAGTTGAGGAAGATTGTTAGCAAGCGAGCGCAGGTCCTGCAGTCACACAGTGCAGCTTGGGTTGCCATCTCTTTTCATTGCCTGGTGCTCTCTACGTTATGTGGTCTCTCTGGCTCTTGCATTCCTCCTTGGTTGCAGGTGACATACATGACTCACTGATGGACTCAGTGGGACCAGCTTTGAAAGATGCTAGCAGAGCAAGGCACTGTGGAAAAAACTGAGTTATTCCCCTCACCTTGCATTGTCACCTTTGTGTATGAGGTCACAGGTTACCAGCGATGGGTGGCCTACAGAGGTGACAGATGGTCGTTAGATTTCCCTTCCTTCTCCCGTGGATCATGGGACCTGTGAGCAGGCACCCTTCCTTCCTTCTATGCTTTCTGCCCACAAGGTACCTGCATAAGGACTCCCCAGAGGACTAAAACTGTTTACGAGGACAAGAGGAAGAGTAAAACTTCAAAACCATGAAGAAGTAGGGCTGAATATTCAGCTTCTCTTCGTCTTCCCAGCCACTGTCTAGCATTTTCTATGTGTCTCACACTGATGGGCTTTGGCCCCGTGCCAAGGATGGGGCCTGGGTTCAGGCCAGGGCTGGGGGAGAAGCAAATTAATGATGTCATTAGACTTGTCTGGGGCCTTAAATCTCCCATGACAAGTTTAAGTGCAGGGCATATGATAACATTTTGAATAGATCATGAAATGTCCCTAGAGCCTGGGAGAGATGGGTGTGTGATGGGGTGACAAGGAAATGGGCTAGGCAAGGCTGGAGTGAGGTTATAGGGGGAGGGAATCTGGGCACGCTCCCCTAACCTCTGGCTAGGGATGGCCAAGTGCCCAGTTCTGTTGATGATGCCCAGCTATCCCTTTCCTCCCTATCTCCATCTAGCCAGTAGATGCCCTCTGAGAGCCTCTGAGAACAGGCTAGGAGTCACCCCAGCACCCTTTACTGTACCCCATGAGATTTCCAGCCCAGTAGAGGAGTCAGCCACTCTTGTAAGACAATTATGGGCTACGTAGTTGGAGAGGGCAGAGGGAAGCAGGGTTCACGGAGGGACCCTGAAGTGTGACTACGTGGTCCAGTTCAACTGGGTCAGCCTAGGTTTATGGTTGGAGGAGACTGATACACTCCTGAAAATTATCTTGACTCGGAGTAACATTCTACTGTCTACTGTCCGAATAAAACATGTGGCTACTGTGTCTCTCCGGGGGCTAGGGACCACAGGCTTCCCACAGAGGACTTCTTTGCAGCCCTTTCATTACAGACATTAACAATACCAGTGGCCTAGAGCTGCAGAGACAGGGAAAAATCATTGCTGAGGGTAGGGATGGTAGAGTGGGGAGGTACACAGTTAGGGGATAAGGAACTCTGGGCCTCAGGCATCACACTTGGTCCATCCTCGCCTCTAAAGGCTACTTTGTCATCCTCCCCACTGCAGCCAGAGGCATCTTTCTGACCTCAGTGCTCCCCAACTTACACTCTCAAGGGTTCCCACTCCTTAGCAGCCTTCCCACCTTTCTCTTGTTCTCTGCTATGCAAACCACACCCTCTGGAGACACCCACCAGCCCCTGCTGTGGGCTGTCATTGTCATCTGGGAGGCTCCACTAACACACTTAGTTCCTACTTTATGACTGCCTCCAATCTTTCCCGACTGCACCAGGGTCACAAGCCCTAAAGCCTCTAGATCCTCAGCCCTTGACACCCCAGCCCTCTGGCTGCAAGATGGAGCTCCGCAGAGCATGATGTACAGGGGTAGAGTTCAAGCCTTGTGAGCGTGGCTTTTCTGCACCTTGGATCAGGTTGTCTATGCACCCTATATGCAGCCTGGACTATCATTCTAATCTAGGTGGACCACTTGCCCTGCTGGCAGACATAGCTACTGCCTTTAGAAATCAGCAGTGCTTCTGGGCACAAACTCAAAGGCAATCTGAACTGACATCTCCCAAGCTCATCCCATGCCTCCGTTGTCCATCTTAGTCAGTCACAGGCCTGGTCCTGTCTACCACTTCCTAAACCTTGCCCCTAGTGGATTCAGGGTGAGGCTCACCAGAAGTGAGGCACTATGAAGATCCCCATCAGTTCATGGTGTCAGGTTCCTCTCCTGCCTCCTACACCTTGAGACTAGAATCTTCAAACCTGGAACCTCCCACGGTAAGGGCCTGGCTTCTTCTTCCATTTTCTAAGTTTCTCTAAGTACATGATGTACCTAGGTATTGTACGTGACAGTCACTCACTGGCAAGCACTCTGCGACAGGCGCCAAGTGGTCTCCAGAGCAGTGGAGACCAAGGGATGAGCAGCTCATCCCTGCCCTCAGGGAGCCTGTGTCTGGGTTTGGGTGGCAAGCACAGACAGAACATTGTGGTCCCAGTCTGGCTGGCCTCCAACCAGAACTCTCCCCATTGCTCCTCCTCTGGGCCTCTGGCTCACTTGCACATTGTGCTCATTGCCGGAACGTTCCTCCTTGTCTGTGGCTAATGTAGGTTCTTCAGAGGCCTCTTAGGAATCTTTCCTCATTGCTCCAGCCCCAGCTGCAGCCCGTATAAATGAACGATAGGCTGTGCGTAGCTGCACCTCCTCTATCCCCAGAGCAAGGGTCTCTGTATGAAGCAATGATTTCCTGGGTCTCTCTGTCTCCTTGTGAGAGGGTTGTGCTCTCTGGCTCCCTACCATATCCCTTCGTGCACTGAGCCCCCCTCCCCATTTACAAACTATTTCACTTTTTTGGCAAGTATTTACAGAGTCCTACTTCAGGCTGGGGACTGCTCTTGCCAGAGGGCACAGATGAATTAATGACAGACCCAAATCCTGCCCTCACGGAGCTTGTGATTCGAGGAAAGGACCAGGCAGTCAGCAGTCTCTAATGAAAGTATGTTGTGTTAGAGGAAAGTGGGACTTAATGAAGTAATGAGATGGTTTTTTTTTTGTGTGTGTGTGTGGGGGGGTCATGCTACAGTTCAGTCAGGGTAGATGGGGCTAGTCTTACGGAGCTGGTAATCCCTGAAGATGGAGGAGAGTGCATCTATGTTGAGGAAATGGCCAGTGAAAAGGCAGAAGTATATGGGTGGTTCTGGAGATGACACGGTGGGCTGTGCTCCGGGGTGTGTATAGGAGATGTGGTTGGGAGCAGGGGCAGAACAGGAGGAACACACAGGCTCCTGCAGAGACTGGCTTCTACCCTGAGAAAATGGGGACTGCAGAGAGGAGTCCAGAACAGGAATACGGCCTCCTAATCCAAGCTTTCTGAGTGGATGAACATACAAATACACAACATGGGAAACTCTGGGGGAACCTGGTGTCTGAGGAGATAGCTGCTTCCATCCAGGGCACTGGGAGGTTTTTTTCAGAGTAGGCAACATGGAATCATGATCAAGTTGGAGGAGTCCAGGGGAGGAAGAGGGACAAAGGCTTAGAGCTAGTAAGGTAAAGATGTAAATTCCACAGGCCTGGAGTGGGGGGTGGGGTACAGGCTGTGAGAAGGCCACCAGAGGGCACATCTCAGCGGGCTTTGAATGCTGGATGGAGTGTCTTGGAATTTGTTGGAGATCACTGAGGAGTCATGGTAAAGTCTGAGCAGGGTCAAACCAAACCCAACCGTTTGAGGCCCTATGCAGGGTCTTGCTGGCCTCTCTTATCTTTGCTCTAGGATTTGAATCAAGGCAGAGGGTCCTGGGATCGACTCAAGGCCACGGCACGATTAAATTAACCATGCTTTCCCTTCTGTGGGCCTTCTGGTTCAAGTTGCTATTCTTGATATCTAGCAGTAATCTGCACAGCCCTGAGCAAGTCTGTTTCCTTCTCTGAGCTTCAGTGCCCCCCACTATAAAAGAGACAGCAGCAGCTCCAGTTTATTATAGCTGGAGAGAAGCTGGTCTGTGTCTACCGTACAGTAGGCATCAGATAAATGCCAAGTGGGCTCATGTGGGCCTAGCCAGGTCTTTGCAGCTGGTAATGCAGAAGCCATTGGGGCAGGAAGAGAGGAGGGCCTCACCTGGGATGTGTCATGGTTGAAGATCACTGCATTGAGGTCCCCGCAGTTGTAGTGTTTGATGAGGTCCTCTGTGGTGTAGGGTGCCTGCAGGCTCCCAGCCCGCACACTTTCGTGCTGCAGCAGCGTCTGGTTCAGGGCAAACAGTACCTGGCCAAGGAAAGAGAAGGGTATCAGGGCTGTGATCAAGGACTGGCTGGCTTCTGGGACCAACTTTGTACCCTCTGAACTTTGGGGCTACAGGCATAAAATAGAAGGTATATGACATGGCAAATCATCTGAATTTGGAGTTTGGGGTGAGTCTTCCTCTTGACTCCTTTGTTCTCCTTTGCTCAGAAGTGTTCTAGAACAAGCAAACTCATTTTATAAACAAGAGCACCCTCAAAGGTGGTCAAAGCAATGAACAAAAGTATGGTTCTATATCAAGGTGCATAAGGCCTCAGGAGCTGGATCCCAGGAGCCTCATCCTCCACCCACCCCCTCATGTCCCATGGCTCCTCTGTTCTCTGGGCTACTGGCTTCAGGAATACAGTTTCTAGGCATCAGGGTCACTTGGAATGCTATACAGAAGTCACCTTCCCCCTGGAATCAGAATGTTTCCTGGGCTCCCTGGCACTTTCTAAGTAGCTTATGACATTTGGAGGTCGTGGCTCCCACAGAACACAAGCCCTTGGAGACTATCTGCTTCAGCCTCCCCATTTTATTTATTTTTTAATGAGACAGGCTCCTCTTACGTAGCCTTAGCTGCCTTAAACTCACAATATTCCTGTCTTACCTCCAAAGTATTGGGATTATAGGCACAGACCACCATACCTGGCCAACAACTTCCATTTTAGATGGGGAAACTGAGACCCAGGGCATGGAAGGCTCATTTACCCACATGGCTTTATATGGAGTCTGTATCACAAGATCTGGTATCCCAGACTCTTTGGCCAACCAAGGGACTTTGTCAATCCTACCCATTCCATTGCTGGACCTGTTTCAGCCAATGGGACAATGCCGTAAGCATTACAAAGGAAGGACTGAAAAGTGCCCGGGTGCTGTGGCTTTTCCCCCTTCGTATATTCTTCGCTTTTGACTCCACCCTGCTGGAGGGTGAGAAACACACAGAGCAAAACTTACACAGCCATGTCGATCAGACCAGCGGACATATAGCCAACTTCCAGACATGGAAGCAAGATAGTGGAGCCTGTCGGAACTGGTTCTGGCTACCTGTACTCTGCAGGATACTGTTACATGGTGGTGTAACTCAGTGACAGGTGACTGATAGAGCATGTTTCCTTCCACCAGTGTGTGCGTATCAGCTTTCCATTGTGTTTAACTGGCAGCCTCACAGCAGGCTTAGTTTCCTAAAGACAGCAAATGCATTTTCCTTGCTCTTGAATCTGCAGCTCTCAGCATTGTGCCTGGAAAGAGAGGGTACTATGATCTCGATTTCTTTTAAGGAGCAGGGGACCTGCTGTTTCCCTCATAGTTCAAAGGTGCTTTATAAGACTTTAAGAAAAACATTGAGAAGGCTGTCAGACAATCCCACAAAGACATAGAATCTGAATAAAAAGCTTTAAAAATAGGTGTACAGGGCCAGCCAACATGGTGACACAGGCAATATAGCCACACTTGTGTCCCCTCTGTGTTTGTTAATGGCAGGAGAACCGGACTGCATGAGCTGTAGCAGCCCCCACTGCTCCCCTTAATGAGAGGGCTGGAGGTGAGGTCAGACCCCTCGCCCCACGCCTGGGCCTTCTCCAGGCCCCTGGGCTTTGGCTACCACCACTGAAATCAGATCTGTAGCCATCTGGTGCAGAGTGTCGATGGCAACGCAGTGGCTGGGGATGAATTACAGGAGGCAGCGACGTTTTCTGCTGTGGACACTGTTAAGGCAACAAGTACTTCCTCCCACAGGGTGCATGCCTCCGATGAAAGTGTCCGTGTCGAGCTGATCCCGCTCTCCTCCTCTGAGGGGCTAAGACAGAGGGACTTCCTGTGGCCACACCCAGCTGCTGCACACACCTGCTCTGCCCAAAGGCACCACCTGACCTGGGGTGACATCATCAGCCTGGGCGCCAGACGACCTGGCTGAAGGGTAAATGTCTCCTATGGACCCTGCTTGACTCATGAAGTCAGGTCTGCAATGATGCAGTCTTCATGAAGCCCGGAGGTATTCCAGGGGATTAAGTATATTCCAGGCTGCACAGTGTTAAGAACAGTCCTGGCATGAAATGAGTGCTGAGTATGTGTTTGTTAAATAAAACCTAGGAGGAAATAGCCCCAAATCTTCCTAGCTTGGTGCTGGGAGAGAGAGGCTCCCTCGGATTCATATGGTGCCGAGGTTTCAAGCTGCTCGTAGCTGTAGAATACTTTTGCTGTTGTTATTGTTGTTGTGTTGTCTTCCAAAGGAATCTCACTTGGAGTCTTGGATGTAGAACAGATAAAAAATGGAAAGGTCCTGGTTAATGTAAGGGAGGCAGGGTGGGAATTCAGCAGCCTTTGCTGCAGAGATTTCCACTGGCTGAAGACCCTGGAGCCCAGTTTAAGGACCCCTGGTCTCATTTTATACCCTCGTAATGTAAAAGAAGAGAGGGAACAGCACCCGAGGCAGGTAGGTGTGTGGGTGAGTATATAAAGTGAGCTGGGCTCCACCCAAGGGTCCTGACTCTCAGCCTTGGATCAAAAAGCTGATGATGCAGGATCTTCTGATATCTATGGGTACAGCCAGACCCACAGTTTCTCTGGGTCACTGTAAAGCAGCCAGGAGTGTTTGCTATTCGAGTGTTACAGAGAGTCTGAGAGCTCCTTGCATGTCTCGGATAGTTTGTGACATTAACTGCATCCTGGTAGGATCTGGTACCTCCCACGGACTCCTTGTGCACAGACCACTTCAGAGGTGCGTATCCTATGGAACTGATTCAGCACTCCGCCTTTTTGTTCACTGTTGGACCCCAACATCACCAATATCAGACACTCAGGAAACACTACAAAAGGAAGGGTGCCGGCCCTGAATTACGTGTTCCTGGCTTCCTACTCTATACCTACTCTTTGTAACTCACAAAGGGGTCATCACTCATTCGTACCCCTGGTTTTACTGAGCACTTACTTTGCATCACAAACTTCCTAAGAGGTTTCGTTATTTAGTCTTTGCAGAAGCTCTAAGGTAATATTAAAATGAAAAAAAAAAACAAAACAAACAAACAAACAAAAAAACCCTACAGCAACGAGACTTTAAATACTTTGCGAAGGAAAGAAGGCTGCAGTGATGTGAAATGGGCATTTGGCACATGTTCTCTTAGTTAGTCATCACTCACGGGGGCCTCCCTCTGTTCTGTCGAGGAAGAGAGACAGCAGGAATGTACAGATGGACCCAACAGAAACAGGGAGTTGTAAGTTACGCAGCTCATAAAGGGTCCGGCGGAGGTAGAATCCAGACCTCTGGCTTACAACAACAGAACTGTAGGAATATGTCCTCCTTTGTGAGCATTTTTGGTGCTTCTAACAAACAGATGACATATAGCTATACCCCTTCTCTCTTCCTTCTTCCCTTCCTTTCTTCATCAAACATTGGCTTTCAGCAGCTTCTCAGCAGGGACTCGATTTCTTGGAGACTTGATTTCTAAGCACATGGAGCATGGAGCAGGCAGACATGCCGCTGGCCTTCACACAAGGGTGACAGATGCACGAGTTTTAGAATGAAGTATTACCCTGACTTCTGCCTCTCTCCTCAGCTCCCAGAATTCCCCAGACCTCTGTGCATTCTATTCCCAGCCACCTTAGAACAACAAACCTTCCTCGCAGGGAGCCTCAGTGGCCCACACTAGGATAATGTTTATGATAAGGCTGTGACATGGAATAACAAACACTAGGTGAAGGGTAGAAGGCCCCACTCCACCCTGGATTCCTGTGTGGAGTCCTGGCCACCCTGGTCACCAGAAAACCCTGTGCATCATCGACAGCCCCCCTTCACTAGGGCTCATGTGGCACAAGGTAGCCGGAGGCGCCTGTTGAGTGTAGGTTTGGAATCTTCAAACAGTCCACTACGTCGGAAAGAGGCAGGCGCCAGGCGGCTGGAAACAGGCTTATTGTTCCAGAGCAGTCCAGTAAATAGTCCAGGATAGATTAGAACTTGAGGTCTATACTCACTTGGTCACTTGTGTCACCTGAAGGGGAGGTTTGGACCTAGCGCAGGCCTGGCTCTCAGGCTAAGGGTCTGGGATGACCAATGAAGATTACTGCCCAGGGTAATGACAGCAAAGTCCTAAGCTGCCAGTGCATCAGGCCAGGTCGGCACAGACAGGAGCTTCACCCTCCCACCGTACAGCTGCTAGGTATACACAGAAGGGACACTTTCACCAGTAAAATATCAATATACAGTGTGGAGGAGATTCAGTGTGCATCCTGCTGAACTAGTAGTGAAACTGCCTTGGGCTACTCCGTGTTGGCAAAACTCTGCAACCACAGACAAAGAGAGCAGAACAGCCAGTGCAGCTGGAGGTCAGCTTCCAAACACCAAGAGAACTGGTTTGCTTTTTCCACACTGTGGGTGAGGAGAGTGTGTAGAACACAGAGTATCTTCGGGTGACTCAGTGCTCCCATACCCAGTGATTAGAGTCAGTGGAAATGGCAGCACTTGTGTTCAGGAAGATCCTTGCATGAACCCAGGAATGGTGCTTTAGGTTTCAAACCTTGGAAGCTGAGGTTCTTACTAAGGCAAAGGAAGTACAGAATGGATGATAGAAGAGAAGGTGGGGAGTCACAAGAAAAGGAGACTGTAATTGCTGTGAATACCCAGTCTAGCCTTGAATTCAGTTACGCAGCTGACAACCTTGAACTTGTGATCCTCCTTCCTTCCTCCACTTCCCAAATGAGGGGAATACAGGCATGTGCCACCATTCCCCGTTCATATGCTGCTGGGGATTGAGCCCAGGACTCTGTGGATGCTAGGCACGCATCCTCAGCCCTGACTATGTTTATTTTGTGTGTGAGGTAAGCGTGGATGCATGCCTGGGTGCGTGTATCTCAAATATCTTTGCTTTCCCATCATGTAAACATCATGTAACATAGATGTGCTGTCTGTCTCTATCTTGATGTTTAAGTGTTCTTAATTTTACATGATGCTAGTGACAGATGTCAGGGGGATGAATAAGTGGGTGAGTGCC